CTCATTAGATAGAAATAAAACATCTATTTACTTCATCACCAACTCTTTATTTTAGAACATTAAAAGAGATCCTCTCTTTGGAAGAGAGGACCATGAGATACCAATGCCATAAGCTTCAGGTGTGACTTTGTACCATCCCCCAACAGCAAAATCCTGTGAGACAACAAACAAAAACCAGACAGAAGATTGAGTAACCAAAGTTAACGTTGTTTGCCTTCATGATTGACCACAAGGGATTGAAACCTCACCAACACACAGCTTTATGTACAAACTAAGGAACCACCAATCACTTCAGAAGCCTCCATTCAGCATGGAATTGATGTCATCTAAGCTCCATAAGTCCGCTCGGTTTTCCTCTTCCTGAGTCACAGCCCCAGGATCTGCGCCGAGCATGGCTTCCACTTCTAGTGGAGAGTCCCATAAGGAGTTCTCAAGGTATACCATCAGATCATCAGAGTTACCGTTGTTGCTTGTCATGTCCTCGGAGTTGGGGTTGAGCGTCTTGGCTGCATTGGTTTCTTCAATGAAGGGAGCTTGGTTATTATTGACTAGCATTGAAGAGATCTCGGGTGTTTTGGGGCCATGGTCACTCCACCCAAACTCTGAGCAGTCGAATGAGTTACTCCCCTGATCGGAACTGAAATACTGGTATCCATTGTTAACTCCAGCATCGATCGAGTTTGTAAACCCAAACTGATTGTTGTACATCTGGGGCTTCTCTTCCACGAAACTCATATCACCAAAGGACTCATGTCCCAAGTTGTCAAAGGAGTCGTTGCAGTACTGACTCAGATCTGTTGGCGGCTGAACCAAAGTTGAGTTTTGATTTGGTTTAGCCACTGGCTTCTGAAGATTACTCGTCTTAGCAGTAGGGCGTTTCTGGGAGACGATAGGGATTTTCTCCTCGGGGAAATTCACCTTAGCTTTATTGCCACGGATTCTGCGCGCAGCTGCATCATAAGCTCTTGCTGCTTCCTCAGCAGTGTCGAATGTTCCAAGCCATTCTCGAGAGCCTTTTCTGGGATCACGGATCTCAGCGGCCCATTTTCCCCAAGGGCGCTGCCTAATCCCCCTGTACTGATTCTTTCTCTTCCTCTTAGCAGCTTGCCCATTGGACTCCACGGTTGTCTTGCCTGAAACTGAACCTATTGGAAACAAAACACAGGCTTTCAATCATGAGCTAAATCGAAAGAACAGAGACTCAGATACCAGACCTTCTTTTATCCCACAAAACAAAATACTTTCCTGATAATACCACAAAGCAAAACTGCATCTTTTCAGGAGCTAAGGGATCTGGGACCTAGAAAACTAAAAAACTGGTATATAACTGATGATAGCAAAACCAAAGAGATCAACCAGATTTCAAACAGCACTTAACTCTAGACACAAAGAAAAGTCAAGATCTAAAATATTTTCATGACTCATGAGAGTCAAATATACTCTTGATTTCTCAATACTTTTAAGAAATGAACTAGTCAATCAATAATCATGTAAAGAACAAAGCCAACAAAAAGCCTCTTTCTCTTCTTCCTTTACCCAGAAACCTTGAAAAGTTATTCAGATCTTCAATATTTGGCTAAAACCCATATCAGATTAAGAGCAATCATATAGAAAAACTTTCATCTTTCCTGATGAAATGATAATCAAATGAATATCCGAACATTGAACATACAAATCTGAGACTCGAATCAAGCCCGGAAATTTACCAGTGGAGGCGAAGACGGTGGCAGGGGAAGCATCGGGTTTGGTAGCTGCGGTGAAGACAAAGGGCTTCACATTAGCGAAGACATCATCGACATCGAAATCATCTTCGCAGTCAAAAGATGAATCATCATCCTTAAACCCTTGGAAATCAGCTTCGAACTCATCGTCCAGATCGAAGAAATTGGATCGCTTCTTATTATTCGATCTCTTCTTTGAAGCTTTCCCTTTATTCTGCAGATCCGGCCAGATAAACTCGCTAGTGACGCGGCGGGAACGCGGCGCCGGCGGAATGAAATCGGAGATTATTGCTCCTCCACACATGGCGGCTTTCACGGAATCGCTACTCTTACAGGGTGTCAAATAGAATCTTTAGCGGCAAAAGTATAATAAATATTCGCTTCTTTGTTTTCGTTTTCTGTGTTTACGGTCCAGAAAGATAGAGAGAGGTGCGATCGTATATTATATAGACTAGATTTTTGTTCCACGCGCCTTGAGATTAAATGAATAAATATATTTTAATATATAAATGTATATGATTTTTAATATTTATAAACTTATAAATTGATATGCATTGTGGATAAGTATAATTAAGCATATTTTGATGCCATCAGTTTTAATATTTTTATGTGCAATTGATCAGAATATATAAAAATATTATTTATTTCAATATATTTAAGTGTAAATTATATAGCATATGATAAATCAGATAAATTTTAAACTTATATAAATTTGTCGGACATAATAAACGAAAAGCAATATATATTTTCCAATAATAAAATGTGTAAATATTTTATATATCATATTAATCTAAATACATATATACACAATAAATAATATAATAATAAAAAGTTTTGAAAATATAAAAGAAGTTTAAAAAATAGATGATATGTTAAATCTAAAAATTACATTTAGTTGGACTTGCAAAACATGTATTAATGGGTTTATGCTATAAAATTAATAAGAATATGTAGAATTAATTGACATGTTTTTATTGGTTAATATGAATGATATGTTCCTTGAAACTTTCATTGAGTGAATGTCTCCTCAATTAATATATAAAAAATTTGATTATTTTACTTTTGTATCCTTGCTTCTGAGTCAAATGCTTTAGGTGAGTAAATATAATAATTTTACAGTTTTATTTTAGGGTCAATTACTGCAAGAATAACTAAAAAAATTATTAATTCATCAACTAATTAAAATAAGCATATATGACTTAATCAAATCCAATAAAATTAGGACAAATTATTAGGTTTTGAATTATTATTTTGTGTGTGTGTTATTGAATCTAATTTCA